TAATATGGGGCTGGGAAGGTGGCTCAGTGGTAGAGCGCTTGCCTTGCATGCATGAGGCCCTGGGTTCAATTCCTCAGCACCACATAAGCAAAAAGAGAAAAGCCGGAAGTGGCGCTGTGGCTCAAGTGGTAGAGCCTTAGCCTTGAGCTGAAGAGCTGAGGGACAGCGCCCAGGCCCAGAGTTTAGGCCCCACGACCGGACCCCCCCCCCAAAAAAAAATATGACTGCACTGAAACACAGGAGATATGTTTAAAGCTCTGAGTTTATAATGATTGGTTTTTTTTGTTGTTGTTTTTGTTCTTTGTCGGTCGTGGGGCCTGAACTCTGGGCTTGGGCGCTGTCCCTCAGTTCTTCAGCTCAAGGCTAGTGTTCTACCACTTGAACCACATAGGCACTTCTGGCTTTTTCTGCTTATGTGGTGCTGAGGAATGGAACCTAGGGTCTCAAGCATTCAAGGCAAGCACTCTACTACTGAGCCACCTTCCCAGCTCCTATAATGATTGTTTTAAGAGAGAAAAGTCAGCTGTGGTTGTATAGACCTGTAAGCTTAGCACACTGAAGGCTGAGGCAGAAGGATCATAAGTTCAAGTCCAGCCTAGGCTATGTAACAAGACCTTGTCTAACTAGATACATGCATACATATACATGTATGTCTCTAATTGTGTGTGCGTGTGTGTGTGTGTGTGCGTGCGTGCGTGTGTGCTTGCATGTGTGCTGGTCCTGGAGTTTGAACTCAAGGCCTGGGCACTGTCCCTGAGCTTCTTTTGGTCAAGGCTAGCATTATACTGCTTAAGCCACAGCTCTACTTTCAGCTTTTTGGTGGTTAATTGGTGATAAGAATCTTACAGGCTTTCCTGCCTAGGCTGGCTTTGAACCATGTTCCTCAGATCTCAGCTTCCTGAGTAGCTGGGATTACAGCCATGAGCCAACAGCACCCAGCTTGTTTGATCTTTTATCTGGCAATATTAGGAAGATTCAGTGTCACAGTTCCAGATGCCACAAAGAAATAGCCAGTATCCAGAAGGTGATTATCTCCCAAGGCAGTAACAGTTCCCTACCTATGACTCAAACAGATTCAAGAGATCTTTTCCTATCTGTGCACATGTGTGTGTGTGTGTGTGTGTGTGTGTGTGTGTGTGTGTGATCTTCATGAGGGAAAAAGAAGCTGTATGTGTCTTCTATGTTCACTATGTGTCTTCTCACTCCTAGAAGGGTTTATATATCCTCTTCACTATTGTCCCTACAGCTTTTTAAATTAGATAATGCATTGTCAGTAAAAACTTAAGTGAAGAATATAGAATATGATCCCATTCTTTATTTTTAGATGAGAAAATGGCTTTATCTCCAATTAACCACTAGAAAACCGGAAGTGGTGCTATGGCTCAAGTGGTAGAGTGCTAGTCTTGAGCTGAAGAGCTGAGAGACAGCACCCAAGCCCAGAGTTCTAGTCCCATGACCAACAACAACAACAAAAACTTGAACAAAATACTAACCCCAAAACTTTTTGAGGTGACTGGAGTAATTATTCTTCTTGCTTTCGTCTCTAGATAATCATGATGTCATTTCCCTGAAGTTATTTGAGCTGACAGTGGAGAGGACTCCAGAAGAAGAAAAGCTGCATCGAGATGTGTTCCTACCCTCAGTGGACAATATGAAGCTGCCTGAGAGTTAGTATGGGATCCTTGGGAAATGCTCCCATGATTACAATATTGATGAAATCTGGGTGACTTGCACTCGCAGCTTTCAGAGTGGATTCCTTTCTCTGTGATACAAATATCACTTCCCACTTGTCCTTCCATTACAGATATTTAGCAGGTGGGCTGATTCACTTTTAAATTGAACTGCCCGGAAAGGGGAAGTCTAAGCTCTTATTCCAGAAGGGGGCATCAAAAACTGGGGTCTAGGCCGCTTAAGATCCTTCCCTTCTTGGTGGGCTTCATGTTTCTGATTTGTTTTTTTTTTTTTTTTGCTTCCTTAGTGACAGCTCCACTGCCTCCCTTGAGTGGCCTGGCTCTCTTTCTCATCGTTTTCTTCTCCTTGGTGTTTTCTGTATTTGCCATTGTTATTGGCATCATACTCTACAACAAATGGCAGGAACAGAGCCGAAAGCGGTTTTACTGAACTCTGCTGTTGGTACCCTGTCTGTGACTATCACCCATGAAGTGTGGGAATAGCAGGTACTGGCCTGAGCACACAGCCTGGCAGATCTACTTCAGACCGCAGCAACTTGTCAGGAACTGTGTCCATCACTGGCGTTTGAATGCAAGCACCCTTTATCCCCAGGGACATCTAACTGGTCCAGGAAGTCACCCATCTAGGGCAGTGCTGCTGTGATGTGCCTTTCCCTGAAGTCCTCTTCCACTTGGAAATTTAGAGTTGTGAAGAGAATACATACATATTCTGATGCCAAAATCGCAGAACAGAATTGGATAATCTGGACATGGACTGGACTCAGCAGGCCTTTCTACTCTTTTTAAGTCAACAAATAGAAAACCAGAACTCATACCTTCTGGATATCCATTTATTGGTTTTTGCTTTTTGCACATGCTTCTTTTTGAGATTTCCTTGGAGATCTGAATGGAAACATCTTCTTGCCTCCCTTTCTGCCTCCATTCACTGTCTTCTCAATGTGACAAATACCCAAAATACATTTGGGTATTTTTTTTGTTGGGTTCTGGAGCTCTAGAACAAACTTAGGTTTCACCGATCCTCATTAGGTGGACCTAGGGCTCTTTGCTTTTTAGCCTGTTGCTCCAGCCTCTCTTCTCTAGCCAGGTTCTTGAGTCTTGTTGTGTCTGCGGCCTTCCTATCCGATCCCTCAGGCCCTTGGTGAAGACTGAAGTCCTTGTGCAAGTTAAGAGAAGCTTGGGAGACTTCATAGGTGCCATGAGATTAACTGTGAAACTGATGAGTTCTAGGTTTGACTCAGAGTGAACATTTGTCATTTGCTCTAATCAGGTGGAGGTATTTCTGGACATAGTGTATCCACTTAAACTGCATGTTTTTTGTTTATCATGGTTTTTGGAATCTCACTTTGAACATTGGAAGTATAAAGAAGCTCTTATTATTACTTGGTTTTGGACACTCCCCCAAGAAGAAATTTGGCTCCTTTGTCCTGATGGAGAAGAAACAGCTGCTGTTTTATGTTGCAAGAATGGGAGCAAATGGCCTTTATCCTGTGCCTGGAAGAGTTTGTGGTAATTGAGCAGAACAGCCTGAGTACTGTTTTTGTGTCAGCCCTTATTTCAATGCCTTATCTGAAAGGAGTCACACGCTGCTCACCTGTCTGCCCTGTGATTAAATGGTTAGAAGCTAGTGTTTCCCTAGAGGACATGAAACTGAACTTTCTTCTGGGCCTGTGTAGCCTAAGAAAATTCTTAAAGTGGCTGATATAACCAATCATGAGCCTTTGACTCAGTGTCTTCCTTTCTAGGGTGTATTTTAGGGGAGGTCTAAGCCTTTTTTTTTTTTTTGTCGGTCATGGGGCTTGAACTCTGGGCTTGGGCGCTGTCCCTTAAGCTCTTCAGCTCAAGGCAAGCGCTCTACCACTTGAGCCACAGCGCCACTTCTGGTTTTCTGGTGGTTTATTGGAGATAAGAGTCTCTGGGACTTTCCTGCCCAGGCTGGCTTTGAACTGCGATCCTCAGATCTCAGCCTCCTGAGTAGCTAGGATTACAGGTGTAAGCCACCAGTGCCGGGCCTAAGCCTTTTCTTGAGTTTCAAGTACATCAACTCTTTGGGATTGACCAAGCCCTCAGTTTATACCAGAAGGAAGGGGTCACCTTGGCTGTGGATAGGTATTCCTCTTCTTCAGTACTCATTCTTTGTGCTGATTAATATAGCACAAATGTAACTAAACTTTAAGTGCAACACAGGATATCTTGCCCTCCTTCAGGTGAGATAAAAGTAGGTGCAGATGGATGGTCTCCAAATATCTTTCCCACAAAGCAGAATATCAAGGGAGCCAGATGACAAATTGTGACCTAAAACTTGGTCTTAGGACCAGGAAAACTGAAAAAGCAAATGACTATTTTGCCTATTTTTGACTTCACGGGCAAGCTGAATTGGCCTGTGTGGCTGGATTGACTTGTGTGGAGAGATTGAATTGGGTGGAGACTAGGTGGAGCTCTTGAAGTGCCAGAGTAGTTGTATAGAAGGGAGGGTCTAGTCATAGGAAGGAGATGGGGGGTGGGGGGAAGAGAAGAGAGTGGGTTTGTATAACTTCAGCTCATGAGCACTTTGAAACTTATTTTTTTTTTTGCTAGTAGGGGGGCTTGACTTTCTTGCTCACAACTGGCACTATGCCACGTGAGCCACACCTCCACTTCTGGCTTTTTGCTGGATAATTGGAGTTAAGAGTCTCAAAGATTTGTCTACTGAGGGGCTGGGAAGGTAGCTCAGTGGTAGAGTGCTTGCCTTGCATGCATGAGGCCCTGAGTTCGATTCCTCAGCACCACATAAGCAAAAAGAAAAAAGCCGGAAGTGGCGCTGTGGCTCAGGTGGGAGAGCGCTAGCCTTGAGCTGAAGAGCTGAGGGACAGCGCCCAGGCCCAGAGTTCAGGCCCCACGACTGGACACCCGCCCCCCCCAAAAAAAGATTTGTCTGCTGAGCTGTGTCTGAACTGCAATCCTCAGATTTCAGCCTCCTGGGTATATAGGATTACAGATATAAGCCACTGGTTCCTGCTCCTTGAGGCTTTTTAAGGAGGGCCAGGAAGATGTGACATATAGTCCCCATCCAACCTAGGGGATTAGGCTTCTGTCCTTTGAGAAACACGTTGCACAAGAAAACCATTCAACCTAGGGCTGGGGATGTAGTTGAGGTAGTACAAGGTTCTGGGTTCAATCCCTAGTCCTAAAAGAAGACAAAACCCACCCATCCTAGCCTTGTATGTCCTGCTCTGGCTCCTGCTTTTTGTTATAGAAACAAATTTTTCCATGGTGAGTGAGACCAGATATTTTTCTAGGTAGTATAACCTTAATGTGCTAGAACCTGGTTAGTGGCATAGTGCTTGTGCTCATGTGCCTTAGTATGCTGCTCACTCATTAGCGTCACTTTCCTACAGTCATTCTTTCCTTCCTTTCCTCTGATGTCAGAGGCTTTTAGTGTATAAGAGGACTAGAAGTGCACAAAGGTGACTGATGGTGTTCCTTGACTGAAGAGCTGACGATTTCAGCCTTGCCTATTGCCTTCAACCTTTCCAACCCCAAGTTACAAGGTGACTTTATTTATAAAACTTGTGTATTTCAGTGGCTGGAAAAAAAATTACAGGTTGCTCTTTTTATTGTAAATTCTTTCCAAAAAATAGAATATGTACAAGCGCCTTGTATATGTCTTAGAACAGAAACAGGAAACTGGTAGGAAGGCCAGAGGGCTGGTGGTAAGCAGGAGATAAGCCAGCCCAACATGGACAACTTAGTCTTATGGAGCTACAAGTTCTAGGAAGTCTGGGAAGATAAGACTTTGGTAATTCTTGGAATTACCTCCTTCCTGGAGGAGTGTTGTTGTTGTTTGATCTCCTGTAGTCTGTAAGTTTGGATGTTGGAGGTCAGAGAAGCTGTCCCTGCTGGTGTTTTGGGAATTGATGAGGTTGATTATTTTAATGGGAGGATACATCCGAAGTTCAGGTTTGATTAAGCTCATGGCCAAATAGTTCTAGAAGAGACCACAGAGTTAGCCCAAAGTCATCATCCCCAAAGCCACCAGTACCTTTGTCTCTGTCCCCAGGATTCTCACTCACCGGAGTTGCGTAGATAAAGTTGAACAGTACAAACACTCCAACCAATATGATGAAGGCCACTAGGATTTTGAAGCGGTAGCGTTTGCAGCAAGCGAGGCACACATTTTTAATAGGTGACCGCAACCACATGAAAGCGGTGTCACTGCGTCTGTTCATGGTAGGAGATGCCAGAGAATGAAGGGCAGAAAGAACCTTCGGATCTATGATCCAAAGCAGAAGAGCTTGCTTTCTTTTGGGGTGGGGGAGGGTCACTTGCTCCCCCCCTAACTTCTCAAGTCCGCTGTCTTCTATTATAACTGAGCTATCTGGCAGGAAGTAATTACCCATATCCACTTGTAGGTCCACTGATCACCATCCCATACAAATTGAAACAAAAAAAAGGTATTTTATGCCTCTGACTAATAGAGCCCTTACAAGGGAGGATGAAGAGTAGGGTATTGGTTGGGTTCCGATTGACCTCGTCCAGCTGGCCTGATTAAGGCATCTTTCTCTGTCAGGATCTCCAGAGACATCTTCACTTTACCCTAGAGATAGCACAGGTGGTAGGCTAGGTCAGACGTAAGGGCATGCTGGACTACTCCCTAGCATCCAGAAAGGAAAAGGACCCCGGCAGTTACGTGACAGCCGTTCTAGTCGGTAGACATCCTCCCCAGTTCCTACCGACAAGCGCCATTTGTTCCCATCTTGGACCTGGCAAGGCCACCATCCAGTTACAGTCATCTTCTTAAAGAGGGAGAAGCGCTTGTGTTGGCGGTAGGGCCACTTGGGATTAGTATCCATCATCCTGAGGGAACATTGCTTGGAGGTGCGGGCCGGAAAGGGCATATCTGATAAATCCAGCTCCAGGACCCCTGAGCCGAGAAAAATGCCATTAGTAAGAAGCAGCTCCCTGTCCTGTGGTCACAAGCTCTATGCTAGTATCTCACCTATGAAGTCATCACTGGAGAAGAAGTCATTGTCCCAGATCTGAATGATGAGCCGGGCTGGAAACTTCATTGATGTGGGGTCCAGGCTCCATATATAATCCTGGAGGACAGCAGAAGGGCATGTCACTGGTCTGTTTCCTTGACATTTCCCTTGGACACCTACCCAGCAGAGATGGACTTATCACCATCAAAGAAGAGTACTTCTGCCTAAGGACACATTCCTAATGTTCTGTTACAACTTGTATTCTCTGGAAGGAGCTGGGAAGGAGGAACTTCAAGACCCTAGGCTCCGCCCCTTCACCCCACCACACCTATTACCTTCTGGCTCTGGACACACATGCACTCTGCCGCCAGGTAGTCCATGGTGAAGATGAACCTCCAGTTGAAGTTGCCTTCCCCAGTCATGGAGTGGTAGTGGACATCTGTCTTCTGCATGTCCTTCTCTATCCCAAATAACCACCTAGGGACAGAATCCTTTCACCTGGCATTCATGAGTATGCCCTCCCCCCAGCTTCCTGCCAGCCACAGGTAGTAGTGGAGAGAAATCTTCCCCTTGGGATTAGGAGGATGGCCGAAGTAGGGGGATTGATGGGCTCTACTGGGGCCCTTTCTCCTTCTCACCCTTTGACGTAGATGTCGCTCATCTTGTCTCTACTTAAAGTCTCATGCACCAGGTCCACGTGGTTTGTTTGCCAGATAATGCAGCGCAGCTCATACCTGCAGCCACTGTGCTCTGAGGCTTTGCTGAGGGTTATCTCCCCAGCTGCAGCCTTAGTGAAGGAGGCTAAGGCCTGAAAGCTGCCTTCTGTGCTTTTGCTGAATTTGGGAAACTTAGAAAGCTCTTAGTAGAGCTTCATAAACTGTTTCCAGGAATAAATTATGGCCACTCAAGGGTGTGAGGGCTGAACTGAGATGCAGCCAATGAGAATAGTAGGGTCATTACTTACCGTTTAGGTTTTCTGGGGCTGATGTTGACTGGGGGGCCAGGAGGCCCCAGCTTCTTGGGAAAAATGTCCACCCAGAGTTGTACCTTTCCCTAGAGTAGAGAAATATTCACTAGTCTGGGGGTTGCTGGGATCCCTGTTCTCAGCAGGATGGTCTGGGAGTTTGTTTTTCCAGTTTCTGAGGCCTCATGAGGCTGTAAACTTACACTACCCACGAATGGGGCATAGAGGTTTCTGAGAGGCAGCAGCTAATCAATCACCTGCTAGCCCTCTTTGTTTTTGACTGGAATAGTAGTAAAATGTGCGTGGTGTATGATGGCTCCAAAGCCAATGGTTTGGTGCTGAGATTTCACTTATAACTGGTCAGGGGAGTGGTTGATGCCACTTATTGAGTAGGTCATGCTTAGATGGCCTCTAATGGGGTTCCCAAGTAGGGTTGGGCTTTTCTTTATTAAGCAGTGTGAAAGCCTTGAGTAAGAGGAAGTTGGGTAGCCAGTCAGATGATCCAATCAGGTACTGGACCCTGAACTTGGGGTCTTATTCCCAAGCACTCCACCACTGAGCTACATCCTGAGCCCTTAGCTCATTTTGTATTATGTGAACACACCCTAAGAATAGTAAACTAGCCATAAAGTACAGAGGCCTGAGAAAGAACATAAAAGCTGAAAACAGTAAAGAAAGGAGGAAGTAAAAGGGCAGCACTACCAACCTTGGAAAATAAATATGTTGTCTTTCAAATTACCAGACCTACTTTCATTCTTCTGAGGTTGACCCATTTGAGAAAACAGGTTTTATGAGAATAGCTAGCTAGCTAGCTAGCTAGCTAGATGGATAGATAGATAGATGGATAGATAGATTGATTTAGATATCTATATATGGAGAGAGAGAAAAAATGAATAATGCTCAGCAGAGGACTTTAAAATGTGGCATGAGCTGAAGAGATTGGGAGAATGAAAATGAGTGATGTTAGTAGCTGGAGGGAAAAGGATAATTAGAGTGCTCTTGGCTATATCTTTGTTCCTTTGTTTAAGGCTCCTTGCCATGGAGAAAGCAGCCTGCAATTAACAGCCAGAACCAGGGTTGTAATGTCTGCACTGTCTGAGCTGCGGTGCCACCTCCCCGCCACTCCTGAGAGATGAAGGCAGTGGAGGTATTGGCTGGTAGGGCTCACTTGTGCCTCCTGCACCTGGCGCACAGCCTCCATTTTCTGTCCAGCTCTGAAGTTCTGTATTCTAAGCGACATGGCTGGAATTTCTTGCTTATGAACATGCAAAACATGCTTGTCTTCTGGTGTACATATTATCAGAGTGATTGGCCTTGTCTTCCCTCTCATTCTGGGCTATGGCCTGAACCCTGTTTCCTGGTCCCGCCTGTTTCAGACGAGGTAGGAACAGCCCCACCAGTCCTATACCTGGTCGATGCCTGGTTGGCTGTCACTGTATAGTGTGCGGGTCTCCACATGCTCAGGTACAAGCCCCTGGGTGTGCAGGATATACAGTGCTAGGCGTTCTTTCTTGGGTCCCAAGCCATAAACATCAGGAGGTTTGGGCTCTAGATTGGAGGGAGGAAATCATGAGGTTATTAACTTTCCCATCTCCTAGACACTTTCCCAGCCTCAAGTGGGTGGTGGCCAGGGTTGCCTTCTGTGAGAAGAAAGGGGAAAGGAGTGGGGGTGGGGGGTGCCCAGAAGCAATATCTCCCTGTCCTCTCTCCCCCCTCCATTTGTATGCAGCTCTTGCATTCTGGAGCCACCTCAGCTGCATTTTCTGTATGTGTGCTGGGGCTTACCGAAGTTTTTCAAGTTGAATATCTTCCCATTATAAAAAACAGAGTCATCCTTAGGGTCGAACATGGGTGGGGGCAACCCTTTCCGTTTGGCATAGCGTTCCAGAAGGTAACTTGGGAGCATCTGATCCCTCCATCTAAAGGGTCCTGAGCTGTGGGGTAGGGAAGAGGGGAAAGAGGTTCTGGAGAAATGTGCTGCTCTGAGCAGGATACTAGGAAGTGGGGACTAGATAAATGGAACTCTGGTTCCCAGCCCAGATATTCTTAGCCTCTCCCTAAGGGAGCAATGGGATCTCATCCTCCCTTCTCCCCTCCCCATCAGCCTCAATTGCCAGACAGGTCCAGTCTCACTGGCAGTAGGATTTGGAAAGCCCACATCGGGCTCCGAAGCCAGACAGGAGTCGGTTTTCAAGGTCAATGACTGTGGTTCCGATCTTATCATCAGGGGAAAATAGGTCAAAGTCATAGAGCTGGATCTGTAGGTCCTTCTCAAGAGGAATGTTACAGGTGAGTTCAAACATCCTAGAAGTCAAGTGTTGGAAATGGCAGAGGCTGTGAGCCAGCCTCTCCATGTTAGCATCTTCCCCCAAAGCCCCCTTTCTTTACTTATGGCAGATATGGAGAACAAAAACTTGGGGTAGTTTGCTGTCCACCAAACCTTGTATGTGGCTGAAAAAACCTTTATTGTTTGCTTGCTTGCTTGCTTGTTTGCAAGGGATCAAACCCAGAGCTTTGTGCATGCTAGGCAAGCACTCTACCACTGAACTACATCCCTAGCTCCAAAAATAACTTCTGATGGCCTGGTCAGTGAAGTGTGAGCTCCATTTCCAGACAGAGTGTGTATGAGAGAAATAAATCCACTTATCTTCCACCTGTTGGGCACCGAGGGTGTGGGAGACACTTTTCAGAAGGAACTCAGGGTCTGGGAGAGAATCTAACGCACTGCTGGGGCTGACTCCTAGCTGAGTATGGAGGGGATAGAAAAGCAGGATAGGGGCTCATGCCTGTAATCCTAGCTACTCAGGAGCCTGAGATCTGAGGATCATGGTTCAAAGCCAGCCTGGGCAGGAATGTCCATGAGACTCTTATCTCCAGTTAACCATCAGAAAACCGGAAATGGTGCTGTGGCTCAAGCGGCAGAATGCTCGCCTTGAGCTGAAGAGCTGAGGGACAGCGCCTAGGCCCAGAGTTCAAGTCCCACAACCGACAAAAGAAGAAAAAAGTAGGACAGGGTGAATGAGGGCCGCTTACATGCCAAAGATGGGGTCCAGAGTGTTGGGCTGGTATGAGTCCCGGTTGCCAAGCTTCGTCTGTCCCAGTTGCAGGGTCACATAAGGGTCACACTGGGGGTTATATATAAGCCAGGTAGATGGGGAGTCAGTCCAGGTTGCTCAGGGAGGGAGGGAGTAGGGCAGAAATGAGCCATGTGAACCCCGTGAACCCTGTAAGGAGTTAGTGGTCAGATTATCAGAGCCTGAGGATCTCTGGGAGGTTAAGGTTTGGGCAGGGGGCAGAAGTGGCTGTGCTGATGGTCTCTGGGGGCTGTTTACCAGACCATTGAAGTCCTGTGGCTGCAGATTGATGCCTCGAATCACATACACCCTCACCAAGCACAACTGAGGGAAGTCTTCTGTCTCAGACCAAGTCATGAACTGCCGAGGGGGCTTGGGTTCTGCAGGGTTCTCAGGAAAGGGGTAGATGCAAAAGAGACCCTGGGGGTGGAGGAGGTGTTGGTAGCCCAGCTGGCAGTACTGTACCAGCTCTACAAGGCTCTCCTATGGGGTACTGCTAGCTCCACTGCATCAGGAGACGGTGGGGTTGACGTGGCAGTGACAAGGCCAGGGGGATGGTAGAGACAGTGACCTCTCTTGAGGAGGTATTAAGCAGAGCACCTGAGGTCAGTTGTGAATTCTAACTACATCCATCCCTGCAGGTCTGAACTTGTTCTGAGACTAGCATAGGCCCGATCTGGGAATGAGAAGACCCTCCTCAGCTTTCCTGGTCCCAGCTCCTCTACTTCCCAAATTGTTTTCAAGCCTTCACTGCCTCATTCTCCCAATGAACATGTAGAGCCAGGGCTTTCATTAGTCTCTGAAGTGATGGGTGATGAGACTGGGGTGGATAGACATATACCTTGAACTCCCCTACTACAGGACTGTCTGCCTTGGGCTGCTCCTGGTAGAGTCTGAAGGTCTGGCAGAAGTCCTGCAGGCCTTGGAAGGCTGGCACAGCTTCCAGCTCACAGTCATACACCTGTAGGGCAGGGAATCTGTGAGATCCAGGTTGCAGGGGAGGCTGTGTGCCTGGTATTAGGAGATGAAGGGCCTTTTACAAAGCATCTGTTCAGTCACAGCCCTCCTGCCTGCTTCAGACTGGCTGACTGATAGAGGAGACTGAGTCTTGAGGGACAATGCAGAAACTCTCCCACTTGCTGGTTGCTGGAGGAATGGAGGCTAGCTCTGTGGCCCCTCCCCATAGATTTTGTTTTGTTTTTGGTTGTGAGGCTTGAACTCAGGGCCTGAGGCTGTCCCTGATCTCCTTTTGCTCAAGGCTAGCACTCTTGTCACTTTGAGCCACACAACCACGTCTGGTTTATTGGAGATAGTCTCACAGACCTTCCTGCCCAGGCTTGGCTTTGAACCCTGACCCTCAGATCTCAATCTCCTGTATATCTAGGATTACAGGCATGAGCCACCAGTGTTCAACTCCTGTGGGGTTTTGTTCTACCTTAGCTCCCAGGACCCCCAAACCTTTAGGGTATGGTAGTCTTTGTGCTTATACGTCAGTGACTTGTGGTCATCTTCTGTGGCCCAAAATAGTTTGCTCCACCAGTCCACCTCATGTTCATATTCATCCTGGCAGGGAAGAGGGTCAGGCTGGAACCCCCTACCTCCCTGAACTGTCTAGGTTTGTTCCTAATTCCCCTAGACTGGGCTTACTTTACCTCAGCCTTGCTGGACTTGAACCAGAACTTCCCATAGAGGTTCCCAAAGAACTGAAAAGTGAAATGGTAAGAGAAAGAGAAGATGTAAAGGCTGGGGCTAACTTCTCTGCTTTTTTTTCCCTATAGGCCTTTGAGTTCAGATAGGATTGGGGGACATGAAGGAAGGGAAGCATATTTCTTAGTATGTATTGCCCACATTATACTCCAAGGGGCTCAGAAATTCAGAATCTCACACCCTACCCCAGCCTTCAGAGTCAGAATCTTTTCCCTCCCTCCCT